GAGCTTTATTTGGTAAACAAATGTAGTCATAGCATAGACATATGTAACTTTCTACTAAATTCAAATAAAGCAAGGCTAAGCCAGCAAAAAAAAAAAAAAAAAAAAAAAAGTATAATTTTTTATCTATATAATCCAATAGATTTTTTTAAAAAAATTTTTAATATTAGTTTTAAAGTAATAGTAATATTTTTTAAGTTATTGTTATCAAAAACTAGATATTCAAAAAAAATTTTTTTATTAGTTAATCTGATCTTGTTTTATTATTAATAAATTTGAAATATATATAAGTATTTTTATTATATTTACATTTTAATAAAAATTAATATTAGGATTAAAAATAGTTAAGTAAATATTTAATAGATTGTAAATTGATTTACTTAACAATATAGTAAAATTTATTAAATTATTATTTTTTTATAATATAAAAAAATAAAAAGTGTTAATAAAGATTTCTAAATAAATATATTATATATTATATAAAATTAATTTAATATATATAGTATCCTGTTATATAAAATAAAAATAAATAGTTATAATATAGTATATTATTAATATAATTTAAATACTATTCACTATTCAATTTTTTATTAAAAGTAAATTGTATCAATTTGATACTTAAAATAGTTTAATAATAAGTTTATTTATATTAGTTTAAGATTTTCTTTTGAAAGTATAAGATATACTTGAAATATACTTATTGTAATATTTCAAACTTTAAATTGATATATATATTAACTACCAATCTAGAGTTTTCTATTAGAAGAAGTATTGATACTTGTCATTATTTATAAGTAATATTTTATATTGATATAGATTTACTTATATTAATTTAAAATTGCTTATTAAAGGTATATAGTATACAATACTTAATAAATATAGTATATATAGAATATATCAATTAAAATTTTCTTTTACTTATTTTTTGCAACAAGAAATTGATAATTTTGATTTTTATTAAACTTGTTTATACTATCTATATTTTTATTAATACAATAAAGCAATAGTAATAATATAAATAATATCAATAAAATATTACTTATTTGTTTTTTAAATAGATTGAAAATTTGTAATTAATTATAACTATAAATTGAAAGTAATTGAAAATTAATAAAAGTTTAAGTCAATAACAAAATAATTTAAAAAAACAAAAGATAAAATAATAAAAAATAAATAAAAATATATTAAATAACAAGTATAATAAACATTAATATAGTTTAAAAATTAGTTTATATGTTATTTACACTGGTTATTAAAAAAATTATACAATAGAAGTAAAAAAAATAAATATTTTTTATATAAATTGATCAGATTCAATTATATATCTTGAATTTTATTATATCAAAATTTATATTTATATTTATATTGTAATTTACAATATTATTATTTTTAACAATTATAATACTTATATAAAATCTATAATTTTAATTATTATAATGCTTTTATTTACAATTTTAATAATTATAATAGCAATATTTTCTATAGCTTTGTTTTAATAATTACTTTTTTAATAATTGTAATTTTGAATTTTAAGCTTTAATAAATATAAATTTAATAATTATAATTATAATATAGTTTTGTATATAATAGAATTTTTATTGTTATATTTATTAAATATATTAATATAATATACAATTTCTTTCAAAAGTTAAGTTCGCTTACTATATTTTTATTATAAATTTTAACTTTATTAATTTTTAAATTCTTAATTATACAATCCAAAAATTATAAAATTCATAATATATAATATATATATTTTTTAAAATATTAAACTGACCCATTTTATTAAACTTAATATAATTATATATTACTTAAATAAAACAAAAACTTTATATACTTTTTCACATGTATTGTTTATATACTATTTATAATAAAGTCAATTATAAATATATTTAAAATTCATTTCTATGATATTTGTTTGCAAAAAGAACCAATGTACCTAAGTACTGTTAATATATTTAATAAAAATATAAAGTGTTTATATTGCCTAAAAGAATTTCTCATTAGTTTTCTGTTTCTTATTAGCAGACATAATGTTTAGTTGCTTTTCTCAAGTTCCAAAACAATCACATCTTTCTCACCAGATGTTATATATAATAAAATAGATACCTTGGATAATTTCTTTGATTGTATCTTGCATTTAACTTATTTTAATATAAGTTTCTATTGTTTTAATGATATCTTTAGTAATGTTACTTTAGTGTAATAATGAACATTATTACCAATTTTGGCAGCAATCTGGCATGAAATATAACATTCTTCTAATAAGATAATAACCTTTGCCCTCTTCTCTATAGATAACTGTCTTAAGAACATTTGGTTTACACAAGGTTTGAGTAAATTCTTGCATTTTTATATTTTTACAAAAAAATGCCAAAAGTTGCACAACAGTAAATTGTTATTAATTGTACCATAAAAATTTATTTTTATTATTTTAATCACTATTTTATTGTATACACCGAATAGATTAGATTATACACTATATATACTGTTAATTTCGCCATGATTTGATCTGATCTGATCAAAATTTTAACACTTGAAGATCGACGATCAGGTGTTGCGTCCCTTTTGGGAGACGGTGTAATCTCCAATGACTATTCTTCTTCGTCAAAATCCGATTTTACCTCAACAGCAGATGAATATTTATTGACGAGTTGTTTCATGCTGTTTTCCCATTTTGATCAACGTAAGGTGTTTGATTTCTCTTCATCTGATGGTTCACTCTATAAGAATAAACAAAGATTATGATTGGTTTAAATCCGAAACTCTAGGTATATAGTACGTACATTAGATAGATATGTACAACATCAATAAGTTTCTTTCTGCGTATAAACGATTAGGATATAAACAACAATTCATTACCGAATTTTTTTCGATTTTGCTTATACTTTGCTCTGACTTTTGAGCATCTTCGATTTCCCGCTAAAGTCTCTTGTCCGTTTTTTCATTTGTTATCTTTAATAAAAATAATATAAACATTGTAAATAATACATTCCATGAGGTTTACTGACTAAGCGGGGTGACGGAAAGCGGGAACGGAATCCCATTAACTCCCTGTATTACCACGGGGCGGTACCCGCGGGAGTCCCTTCAAGGTCACCCCTACACTCTTGCACGAACAGATGTCAACAGCCAGAGTGCTGAGACGGAAGGCGAGGAACAGAACCCACTACTCCTTGTATTACCACGGGACGGTACCCGCAGAAGCGCCTACATCTCTTAGCAGGAGCAGAACCCACATTTCTTTAAACCAATACATAACCTTATCAATTAAATTTTTCTCGCTTGTCGCTTGTTGTGCAACTCAAATAAAATCTTTCATCCATAGGGAACTCTTGTCTGGCCATGAACTGCCGTTTGTTATTTTTGAAAAAATAATTGTAAGACCAGCTTGCTGGACGATGCATTTCAAGGTATGATTTTATTGCTACGTATTTATAACAGGTAGTGTTAAGGTGTTAAGAAGGTTATAACTAATAAATAATTCGGACTACTAATAAATTCGCGATCACATGATATTAGCTAAGCATGGCATCATGTGCAGAAGGATCGGCATTATGTCTGAAAAATACAACGTGGAAGTACATACGTAGAGATTTTCTCAACGAACATTAAGAAACTGGCGAAGTCCAAAAAAGGAGAAATACCGAAACAGTATGCGATGTCATCTATAAGCAGAAATTGGTCTTTTATACATGAGTGTGGGAGGGGTAACCTAGCATACAAACAATGCAGTGATATATATATTACAAAGCAATGGGCTTCGCCCTACCTCAATTTCCGTGAAACAGATTTAAGATATGTGAAACTAAGTTCGATGAGTTTATTTTTGTAAGACATCTTTTATAAAGTTATGTTCCGATCATTTTTTTTTTCTCGTAAAGTGGAGAAGATTCGAGAACGATTTTTAAATTGAGAAGATACGAGAACGATTTTTAACTTGACAGTAAACGTAATCAGGAACTAGCATTTCTTTATTACTAATAGCATTTATTCTTGCGTTAATTATCGAAAAAAATATTTAATAAGTTTCGCCGGTATTTAAATCATAATAATAACCTTCATCATCATCATCAGAAAATCCACAGAATCCATCATCATCTTCCTCTTCGTTGTTATCGGAGAATTCGTCATCATTTTCATCATTATCAACATCAGATGAATCCAAATTAAAATCCAAGGAATTCTCGGGTATACCTACCTCTTCCTTGGGTAAAGATTCCTTTTTCTTATTCACCTCATATTTCGAATTGCAGGAGGCAGACACAGAATGACTAGCCTCTTTCTCCTCGAAAGCTTCCATGACTATTTATCAAATCGTTCTCAGCTTTGGGCGAATTGACTGGACCGAATTCTGAGGAATCATCTGAAGAATTAGAGATGTGTGTTAAAGAATAGGTGCGGTTGATATGTTTACTTCAGCTGAAACTGCTTCTGATGCATTATTAGTCTGATCATCCGAAACCTCCTCTCCGGAATCTATGATAGAGTCATCTTGTTCATCCGGTAATTCAGTATTGAGATTCTTGGAGAAGTAATCAATAATAGTTTGAATTTTACTATCGGATAATTCTGCAATATATGTTTTGATAATATCTTCTTGTAAGGAGGCTTTCTGTTCAGGGGTGGCTTTGTCGTATTGATATAGTTAGGTGGTATAAGTTATTCTGCTAGGTTTGTATTCGAACCATTGAAATATAATTCTGATTTGTTTGTGGCCTGTTGTAATGGCTTCTGATTCAGTCACAGTGTAATTAGGCACTTTGCTTGCAAGGTTGGGTGTAATCCAGACTTTATCGATTCAAGAGGCGCTTGTGCTGATATAATGCATGAATAAATTGATCTTGGACACAACCTTAGCTATATATAAAAAATTGTATAGGTGACTATAAATTTTCCATTTCCTGCTATTGGTTAGAGCATTTATTGATGGAGTATGTGTTGAAGTCTCTTGCTATGATTATTTCTTTTTGTTGTCCTTTAGGAATCTTGCGAGTGTTGAAATTGCTGTGCTTTTGATTCGATTACCATGTGGAAGATAGAGTGCTATTACTACTATATCTATTTTTGGTTTGAATTTTAGGTGAGCTAAACATCAAAACTCGTTTTCTGTGTAAGTTGTGAAGCTGTGATTAGTTAAAGTGTCAGATAATAGAATGCAGGTTCCATTACTGGAGGAATTGTTTGATCTGCTTGATATATTGTTGTGGGCTATCCCGGTGAGTCCATCGCTAATCTGTAGTGCCTTGTGTAATCCAGACTTCTCAAGAATACTCACAAATGACACAAAGAAGAGAACGCCTCCTATAAAGAACACTTAGGGAAGGCATAGACATGGTGATTGACTTGGCTGAAGGTAAGTGTCTCTTTATTGCATTCTGTTTCTTTGGTATATCACTAACTCTTATC